CTCATATGTGATTAGTGACCAGACTTCTAACTAGTGTTATTTGTGACAGATGGAGGTTAGCAAGGCATCAACAACAAATCATGGTACTTCGGGTATGTTATTCTCATCTCACTAGTAGGTGCTTGTGCTGTGTTGAAGTAGTGCTCGACATTGTATGAGTGTATGGCATGCACAAACAATATGTCAATTTCACATCTCGCTACTAGTTACTAACCAATATCCAATTATCTAGAGTTCTGGACATGTATTACCATAAGTCTGTAGTACTTGAACAATGATACTGTAGTACATGAACATAAAGTTGAGATGAAATATATAATTGGTATGTGTCAGCAATCAGTTTTATTAACAAATTTCACTTTTCACTTTGTTCAGGTGGGAGGCCCTAGAGATTCTGTGATGCTGGATCAACATCAAGCAGATCTGTCTAGTGCTCAGTGATGCTATTTTGTATTTGAGTAAGATGAGGCATTTAGTAGATTGTAAGGCCAACATGTATGGCTTGTGGATGCCATTTGATCTGGCTATTAATTAAGGGCTGTGTATGTTGTTTCTTCTTTTGTAAACATGGTACAACTACAAATGGCTTCAATGAAAACTTGAGACATGTTTATCCAGCTATGTTATTGTTTTGTGATGTGAACTTATATGGATGTTGAGTAAGCCTGAGATTATATGGTTGATGTGAAATTAATTATATAATCATGTCATGTTGATGTTAAATAAATTATGTCATCATGTCAGTTCATAGCATTGGAGTGTTGGTCGGTAAAAAGTTATATACCATCAAATCATTGATCGGTATAACTAGTAACAGAACATCGGTCGGTATAAATATTAGCAACTAACTATCGGTCGGTATAGTTTTATACCGACGCCACTTACACGGACTAATGACATCTGTAGGTATAGAGTTATACGGACCGATGTTCGGTCGCTATAACGACTTATAGCTACATTTTTGTAGTTGATGTAAAAAATGTGTGGTACAGTGCAAGTCCGGTCTACCTGTATCGCATTCGGTCTGCCAGACACATACGAAATCCGATGTCCCGCAGCCCTAGAAGTTAGACGTGGAGGCATGAGCTCACCAAGGACGGCCAAGGCTAGCGCGCCCTGTACTTCATCGACCAGTCAGCATACATATCCACCGGCGCGACGAGGTCCCACCATGGCAGCCACCCGTACCACGACCACATGGCATGGAGGCCTGCGCCGGGATGAAGCAGGTGGCTGCGGCAACTACAAGGACACTACTTAACTGCTGGTGCTTAATGTGATCAAATTTGTCGCCATAGGCATGTACAAAAATTCATGATCCTGGTGCAATGCACGGGTATTTTTCTAGTATATCAAAATTATGACTTGGACTCTCCAAGAATTTTGTAGCAAGTCCATATCATATGAATATGCTATGATTTAAATAACAGAAATCAACACCAAAAAATTAGTTCAAATTGGAATAAGTATCGAACACCTTGGTAATAGCGCATTCTAAGTGAAAATCACATGTGCAAACATCATATATTTCACATGAACTAAATCACAAGAAGCAATAATCACTCAATTAGACCTGATCACACCTCAGGTAGCACTACCGGAAATAGCAGATTTGCCGAGTGCAAAAATATTTGCCGAGTGCATTCCATCGGACACTCGGCAAAAAAGTTGTTTGCCGAGTGTTGCAAAAACCACACTCGGTAAAATAATGGCACTCGGCAAACAATCTCTTTGCCGATTGCTTAAAAAAACCACTCGGCAAAAGAGACACTAGGCAACAAACCGCCATGTGAACATCCGTCAGTTAGTGTGCCGGCTGTTAGGAGTTTGCTGAGTGTCCGTCAGTGGCACTCGGCAAAGAAGTAAGTTTGCCAAGTTTTTTTCTTTAGCACTCGACAAAGAAATAAGTTTGCCGATTATTTTTTTGGCACTCGACAAATAAATAATTTTTTTCTCTTCTGACCTTGAAACTTTTTCTACTCTCCACATACAACATGTGGTACTCCATGTTAAGATTTGGTACATTTCTAGATCTGTTTGCTATATTTAATTAATTTATTGCATTTCAAGGAATTTTTTGGTATAAGTCAAATTTGAACCGCAAGTGATTCAAATAATAGAATCAAATAAGTAGAAAAATGATATATATTGAATTTGAGTTATAACTACATGAAATAATGGAATAATATTCGTAGAAAAATCAAATATATATTGTTGAGTGAATTTGACAAGGTATTTTCAAAGTACATTGGAACAAATTTAGAAAAACATGTTATGGAAAAGAAGGAAAATAAAAAAAACTAGGTTTGCCGAGTGCCCCTAATCTGGCACTCGGCAAACCTGGGGTTTGCCAAGTGTCAGGTCTAGGACACTCGACAAACCCCCCCCCCACCACCGGCCGCACACACGCATAGTGTGAAAATGAAAAAAATGGGTTTGACGAGTGCCCCTGATCTGCCACTCGGTAAATTTGCCGAGTGCCAGATCAGGGGCACTCGGCAAACCCCCTTCATATCCACCTGACCCGGCCGCACGCACACACGCACGCATACACACAACCACCTACCCACACACGCCCGGCCCCCGTCGCCTTCCCTGCGCCCGCACCCCGCCGCCTGCTATGCGCCCGCCGCCGGCCCCACTCGCGCGCCAGCGTCGCCTGCTCCGCGCCAGCCGCCGGTGCCTGGCCCCGCTACCTACCCCGCGCCCTCACCCCGTCGCCTGCTCCGCGCCCACCGCCAGCCCCGCTCGCGCACGAGCACTATATGCTCCTCGCCCGTCGTCGGTGCCCGGCCCTCGCCGTCGGCACCCGCTGCTCCGCCCCCGCCATCGACCCCGCTCGCGTGCCAGCGCCGCCAGCACCCACTACCAGCTCCCTGCGCCAGGCCCCTCGCCGGCCCCTAGCCCCCCGACGGCTGGCGCCCTGCCCACCGGCGGCCGACGCGCTGCCCCCCTCATATCCATAGCCGCCTCGATGGATACACATACATGGCAAGGGCGGTCCATGGCCTAGAGTACGATCCGAGCGTCCATGACCTTGATGGAGAAGTGGTCATGAGGGCGGGAGGAGGCAAGAAGCATGGTCGGCTCTGGATTGGCGACGGCACAATTGACACGGCCAGTACTCCCACTCTCTCCTAGATTTGAGCACGGAGCACGAGTTCTAGCCCGGCTATACGTCCACGGTCGGACTCTACACGGTTCTAGATGAACGCACTCCAGGTTGTTTCTGTTTTATTCATTGTTCATTGATTTTTACATATTTTTACATTGCGTTGCAACATTGGGATGAAATATTATAGGCTCAGCTAGAATAAGAAACGACGCGTCGGGAGGAGCTAGAGGCGAAGATGGAGGCAGAGTTGCAGAGGATGGAGGCAGAGCGGCTGCAAATGTTTGAATATATGAGGGGTGTTTACGCTACAATCGGTCAACCTCCGCCACCAATGCCATGCCAGTCCCTCCTCGACCTGCTCCAAATACTATTTCAGGCACTATGAGTCACTTCTCAACCTTATAATCACATTTTTCTAGTTTATGCAGAATCAATCTTATAAAGATGTCTAGACACTAGAAACTAGAAATAAATTAGAAACTAGAAATTAGAAACTAGAATGATTTATAGTTTATAAACTAGAAACTAGAATGATTTATCTCTTTTCCTTCGTGCAGAATCAATCAGCGGCATTGAATGAGTCTTATGACCCAGCGTGGTCACGGTGGATACCGTGGCCTCCTCAGTGACTACTTGTGATTTTATTTGCATTTGCATTTGTGGATTACTTGTGACTACTTAGTGGACACCATTGCACTCAGTGAATTTTATTTGCATTTGTGGTTATGAATGAACCTACTTGTGATTCTGAAGTTTATTTGCATTTATGTGTTATTGATATATCTATATGGACTGCCTGTGATGCTTATTGTGAACTATGTGTGATGCTTGAAATGCTTATTTGAGTGGGGTACGTTATACATGACCGAACCATAAAAATTGAAAATATATGGTCGATTTGCCAAGTGTTACACTCGGCAAAAAGGCCTTTTGCCGAGTGACAAGGTAAAAACACTCGGTAAAAAGGACACGTGGCCAAAATTTGTATGTTCTGGGCTAGACTTTGCCGAGTGTCCGCGATTTGACACTCGGCAAAGTAGCCATATTTGTCGAGTGTCCTGGATTTGACACTCGGCAAATCAGCCATGTTTGCCGAGTGTCAGTGCCTGGACACTCGGTAAACCAGGGCATTTTTGCAGATTGTCAGGGCTTGGGCACTCGACAAACACGGCTGCTTTACCGAGTGTCAAATCCCGAACACTCGGCAAACGCGCCGTGACCGTCTCTGCGCCGTCATGTTACTTTTTTTGCTGAGCGTCGGTTTCAGCTCTCGGCAAAGTATTTGCCGAGTGCCCGATAAAAAACACTCGACAAAGAGACGTTTGCCGGCACTGTAGATGTCGTGTGCTGTTTGCCGAGTGTTACACTCGACAAATCCTTTGGCGAGTGTTTTTTGGGCTTTGCCGTGTGCCTGTGGCACATGGCAAAGCTACTGTTTCCGCCGCTAGTGTAGTGTGGATTTCAGGTTGGGTATTTGAAAAACCTAGCAAAAAAAGAGGCCCAAATCCACCCGAAGCTTGAAGCAAAATCCAAAATCTGCCCAACCCATCAAAGGTAAATACCCAAAGCCTGACCCCAACACCCAGCATTTACAGCATATACAGCCATACCTTGATTTAATAAGCTCAATGTGACAGATCTAAATATATATACTCTAATTCTGCAACAAATTAGCTCCATATCTCATACAACCATAGGATTATGCAACTGGCATATAAGTCTCCATACAGGAACAAATGGATAGAAGGGAAATTAGGGGTCTAAAAGCAAAGGTTAAAGCATTGAGCAAGTTGCACACAGACAAAGCTTATGGCTGATGAGGTGATGATGAGTAATGACTCCATTAGTCCATGAACAACGTCAGTTGGCTAGACAGTTGAAGGCTTCAACATAGCAGATATTCCATCCTGGTGTAAGCTTTTAATTTTGTACGACAATGTAAGCACTCAGCCACGACATCAGCACCATGTGGTGAAATTACATTGAAATATTTCCATGCCAGCGACTTGCGAGAAGCTGAAGTTGATGGATTCAAAGATGAAGCCTCCACTGATCTTGCACGCTTTCCTCTCTGTCTCTGTGAGCTTGCTTCAGCGGTCACGTTCTGCTGCTGCTGGGTAACGTCCTGTTGCTGAGTCTCCTGCTGCGAACTTGCTTTAACAGATTCCTTTTCCTCTTCCTCCTCGTCTTCAAGACTCGCAACAGGGCTCCAGGGACTTGCCATGCTGTGAAGCAAACAATCTGACCAGGGACAAGACCATGAACTTAAGTACAAATCAAACAATCTGCCATACTAGGGAATTGAGTACTACTAGCAAGAAGGGCGAGGGAATTGTACCAAAAGCCAGCACAGGCGGGATAGATCCGTAACCAGCGGGGATTTGTTGGAGAGTTGAGTGCTGGAGCAGCCTGATGTTCTTAGAGCTCCAGCAACGGCGTCGATGACCGCGGCGCACTGTCGCAGCAGGACGTGGTCGAGGGCCGAGCGCCTGCATAGCACGGGCGGTGAGCGGACAGCCGAGTGCCGGCGGGCGTCGTCCTGGCCGCATCTCGCGCTGGCGAAGGTGAGACCAGATTGGAGACGGCAGGGGAATTAAGGGCGTGTTTGATTGAAACCTGCGTAGAAGATGCCTGGCGTGAAGCGTGACTGGATGTTGCCTGTGCGGTATTTGGATGCAGCCCTAGTGAGCTACCTGTCCAGGCATCAGCCCCCAGGCTCAGGTGCACGAAAACGGTCGCCTGGGTGCAGCTGCTGGCTTGCCTGGACTAATTACTTGTTGTCTTATTTACTGCTACTCTTTATATTAGCTGGTACTGTGTACATGAAATTCTCAGAAAAAAAACGTATACCGATACAACCTGAACTAATCAGAAGTCCAGATTGCGTCTATTTAAAACATATTACGTTCTTCTTTTCAGTTCCCTATCAATAAACCTGTAATAGCATCGTGTATACAGTGTAATTATAATTATCTTTGTTCCTCGTACGGCTTTCCTTGTGACATTTTTTAAATAGCTAGGAAAACTTTTAAATTTATTTGTAATTTCAAATGTATTGTTAATAGATAAAATATGTGGATGGTTTTATTTATTTATTATTTATACACAGTAACCGTGTATGTTTTAAAATAGATTATATCTTTTACTAGCATTTCATGTACATTTCCAACCAAACGCAACATCTTCTACCTTGCTTGGTTAGACAGATTCCATCGAATTAACAGGCAACCAAGCAACACTTTTTGCAAGGCAAGTTCTCCAGGCTTTCATCCAAACAGGCCTTAAGTGCCATTTGGATATTCGGATATAGGCGGATGGGTAGGGAAAGGGAAATGAATGAATGGCTAGGATTAAATTAGTTATAAATAATGGACGGCTAAGAGCATCTCCAATAGTATTTCTAAATCTCACTCTCTAAATTATTATTTAGAGAGTTATTTACATAAAAATCGCTTTGTAAACATATACCAATAAACCTGAACTAATCAAAAGTCCAGATTGCGTTTTTTTAGAAACATATTACGTTCTTCTTTTCAGTTCTCTACCAATAAACCTGCGCTAGCATCGTGTAAACAGTGTAATTATAATTATCTTTGTTCCTCGTACATCTTTCCTTGTGACATTTTTTAAATAGCTAGAAAAACTATTAAATTTATTTGTAATTTCCAATATATTGCTAATTGATAAAATATGTGGATGTTTTTATTTATTTATTGTTTGTACATTCTAACAGTAACCGTATATGTTTTAAAATGGTATTATATCTTTTATTAGCATTCCATGTACGGGCTTCCAACCAAACGCAACATCTTCTATCTTGCCTGGCTAGGCAAATTCCATCGAATTTCCAGACAACTTCCAGGCAACACTTTTTGCCAGGCAAGCACTCCGGGCTTCCATCCGCCCTAAGTGTCATTTGGATATTCGGATAAAGGCGGTTGGATAGGGAAAGGGAAATGAATGAATGGCTAGGATTAAATGAGTTATAAAGAACAGATGGCTAAGAGCATCTCCAACAATATTTCTAAATCTCACTCTCTAAATTATTATTTGGAGAGGTATTTGTATAAAAATCATTTTGTATATCTTTTCAGTCTCTGACAGTTTTTCTATATCTAATGCGCACTCTAGAGAGTTATTCTCGTCTTCTATTTTGTGCTAGCAAAAAATCCAGAATAGAAGATTGCTATATTTGGATGACCATTTAGACAAGCTGTTGGATGGTAGTTTTTCACTAAAATCCCTACTCCTAGCATTTAGTTAGGATATGAATAGTCTCTTAAAGGGCAATATATCAAGTGCAAACCAACCTCTCCGTGTAAACCGTGCAAACCAACTGCGGGGGAGAGGTGGGAGGAGTGATTTGCAAAAGCGTAATTACACTTTTGCAAATCACTCCTCGCACCTCTCCCCCGCAGTTGGTTTGCACAGTTTACACGAAGAGGTTGATTGGCAATGAGCCAACCTCTTGAGATACAATATCTCCTTATCCCTGTTCCAATACCCATCCCTATTCAAGCAGCTTGGGTTTCGGGACCCGAGACTCGGAAGAGGGAAGTCATTGCGCGAGCCACTGCTTGAGGCGCGGCTCCGTTCTTGGGCCGAGGCCCATTCGTTGTCTGTTGCCGGAGCGCCAGTATAGTAGAAATCAAACATGCAAACAAGAACGGGTCTGTTTGGTTGGCTGCAACTCTTATTCAGACCACCGTAGTGCAATCTGTCTCTGTTTGTTTGGTTGCATGTATAAGCCAAAATGCAGACTAGCACCTAACTTGCTAATGTCGAATTCCAAACACTACGTGAAAAATGATCTTTAGCAACGGAACAAATTTTTTGTAGGGGCGGCTGGTGATGAAGCCGCCCCTACAGTGGCGTGTTCGGGAGGTCATAAACCACCCGCCCTACAAATAGAACAGCAGGGCGCTGGTGATGATTTGTTTTGTAGGGCGGCTCACTCACCACCCGCCTTAGATTATTATTTGTAGGCGGCTCGATCACCGACCGCCCCTACCAATTGCTGCAGCGTATAAAAAGCCTCCTCGCGTCTCACTCTCCCACCGCCTCCACCCGCTCGCAGCTCCTCCTCCTCCCTCGGCTCCGCTTTGCCCTCTCCTCCTCGCCTTTTTCGCTCGCTTCCCGGCTTCCCGCCCTCATCGCCTTCCCAGAGATCCGGCCTCCTCCTCGCCTCCCCGCCTCCTCCTCCTTCCTCCTTCCCAAGACAATCAAGGCGGCGCTGAGCCCCGGCCGAGGCAAGGCACGGGTGTTGGCCGGTGGCCAGCCGGCAGATCCGGCCACGGCAGCCTAGATCCGTCCCCACCCCCACGCTTTTCCTTCCCGCTTCGCTGGAGGCCAGAGCGAGGGGACGCTTCTGGCGACTTGGGCGGCAATCGATGGGCATGGCGGTGCCGTTGCCGGGTAGTTGAAGAGGAAGCGGCGGAGATGCGGGTCCGTAATCGGGGCGAGGTGAAGATGCCGACCTTCCGGTGGTGCGCGCCTTGCCGAAGAGGTCGAGCGGCACGACGGACTCCCGGCCGCGCCGCGGTCCCCATTGCCATCTTGATGCACCACGCCGATCTCCCACAGCCCGCGATCGCCATAGCACTGCGCAGCCCAAGACTTTGCGCGCCCTCGCCACATCCCGCAGCCTCGCACTGTGCCCTCTCCCCACAGCCCCATACTCGCTTCCTCTCACCACAGCCTGCGCAGTGCTCCGCGCGTGGATCGAGTGAGGCATGGATCCGCCATCTGTTCCCTAAGGCATGCCTCTCGTGGCGGCCAAACGACCTCGGCGCTGCTGGGAGCTCCTCCTATTGCGGTGCTCTTAGGAGCTTGACGGCAAAGAATCAAGGGCAGTGAAATCAGTAGATTCGTTCTTCCCTTCTTGGAATGCCTCTGCTCAAAGGAAGATATGGCCAAATGTGTGTAAAAGAGATGGCTGAATCATCATATTCTATCATCTCTATACTAGTAGAGATTAGAAATTTGATATGTATTTTCCTTCGAAGGATATGATATTAGTCTATCTATCGCTTGCACTGTACTAGTAGAGATTAAAAATTGGCTAAGAACATTATGCTTGTCGTACTTACAGTTGGTCTTTGAAACTGAACAACGGAGTAAGAATATGAAGATGTTGTGCAATGATCTCGAACTATGCATGTTATCACCTTAAGAAAGGAGAAATTAGGTGTACCATCCTAATCTGTAATAGCTATTGAACTCGGATGTCTTTTCATATAAGCTCAGTATTGAACTCTACATGTTCTCATTTATTCTATAACTTCATTCATATTGTGGTCACATAGGGATATAGGTTTGGCTCGAGAAGAGGCTAGCGCATTGAACACATATGTTGTAATGAAGTCTGGCGCACAGCATTCGGAGTCCTGGATCGGATGCCAAGCGCAGTGGTGCTCAGCTCGGCTGTGGAGCTCCTCCTCCTCCGGCGTGCTACATCCACTCTATGAAATATTGTTAGTGTCAAGAAAGTAGGAAATATTTTTAGTTTGTTGTAGATGGCAAGAGAAACGTTGGTCTATTGATCCACCATTTTACCTTGAGTAATAGTTAGTTGTATCCTACTTGATGCTTTCAACTGGAATGCTTAATAACCAAGTAGTGTTTTATTTTTCATTCTTGTTGTTAATAATGATTAGTTATATTTTCTAAGGGAGTTTATTCATCATATGTTGCTTTCCTTTTCAATTTCATTGGTAATGATAATTAGATTTGCTTATAGAGAATAGAAGCTACAAGACGATAGAAACCTAAAGAACATTATCCTGGAAAAAAGATAAAAGATAGAAAGGTACTCATCCTTTCATTATTTTTATAACCTAACTTCTGTGTTTTTCTGCTTTTAATTAATAGAATGTGTGCCAACGATCAACAATCTGAAACTGTGGGTTTAGGAAAACTGTAGGCATCCTTTTGAGCTGGTCCTTCTATGAACGGTCATACCAAGAAAACATATATTTTCTTTATGTCTGATCCCTTCACAATATGTTTTTGTCATGGCAATGTCATTATATCTTTGCTCTTCTGCATATGTTCTTTTATTTTTATTAGTTCCTGCATTTTTTTGTCATGGACTTCAGATTGATTTCTTTTTTGTTTTCGTATACAGGTTCAGTTTGAGTGATCCTTATCTATATAAGTTTAGTATTTCTTCCATCTTATATGCCCAGCCTGCAAAGAAAAAGTTCTGTTTTTTTCTTAGCTGAAGTAGTTTGACTTTGTAGGCAATAGCTCTGACAGATTGCCATGGTGTTCCTATGAATATTTTCCCTACTTCTATACTTGTTGCAGAGCTGTCATACCTTTATATTTAGTTTTTAAATGTTATATCATTGTTTAAATCCTCATATTTGAAGGGCAGTGTATGGGCTTCATTACCGCCACTTAAAAATGGATCTACAGAGCATCAGAAACCTTTAATATTGGCTATTGCATCCCAAGACTCTGCATCGTTTTTTCGGGACCGTAGTCTTGGTTCAGATTCTCCCATATCTGTAAGTTGCTAGTTTGCTAACGGTTTGCGATTGTCCTA